GTATTTTTGTTTCACAAATTGTGAAGCCGCCACATGCACACCAGCGTCCTCACATTTCATGTAAATTTGTTGGTGTGTGTGTCTTGACAAGTAATTTATTCAGACTGATGTAAAATGAGTTTAAAATGTTATTAAAGTATCTTAAGATTATCGGATACTTGAGTTTAAAACAATGCATATACTTTCTAGGCCATTCGAATAATTATTTGGGGATCTTCGCCATTCGATCGCGAAGAACGTTGTCCTACGTGCACGCCGCTGTAGGTTTCTGTGCATGTTGTACATTGAGAGCACCATCACGTTAGCGAGGGGGAGGCGTTATGGCCCACTTATTCTTAAAGCACATTTACGGCAGCGCTGTAAGAGCGCCGTTGCACTTTATGAGTGGCCTGCCACTGGGTCCGCCACAACATGCTTGATTACATCATTACAGGGATCGTCTGCAATCATGCTGTTGAACTATATACAAAAACAAGCAAGCAAGCAAAAAAAAAAACCTAACTAACAAACAAACCAGCATTTGCATAAAAGTAGAGTTCTCAATTGGGAACAGACAATAAGTTTGAAAAACAGTCAAGTGATATGAAATGTAGCCGCGGTGTAGTGTGATGAGAGTGAGGAGCTCATTAGCGCCGGTGTCCCACGCTGAGGCGGCGGAGCAGAGGCTGTTCTGGCGAACAATTGTTAAGATTTGTGCATCCTGTTTTGTTCTCATTAATGAGATTGGCTTTTGCCTGTGTGTTTGTGAAGCGCAGAGCATGTAATAGACGCCGTCGGCTTGCGATTTACATGACAAAGGCAGATTTTCTGCATAGCATTTACATAACCTGTGGGGAATTTTAGTTTTTTTTGTTTGTTTGTTTGTTTGTTTTTTTCTTTTTACACTTCAAACTGTCATGAGAGGAAACAGCGTCAACTCTGGCGATTGTATCCTCGGTTTACTACGACACTGTTGGGCCTCAACCAATGACTTTTCAAGTGTGAAATGACCAAAGGGAAAGTCAGTGGTGGAGGTATGACTTTACGATGAAGTCAAGCAAAGCAGGAAAAAAGACGTATTTTGATTTAAAATTAAAAAAAAAAAAAAAAAACAGTTCGCCACCTATATACACAAATGATGAATCTCCCGTTTTGAGCGCCCTAGAAAAGCTCCTGTGCCTCCAGCTGCTGTGTGAAGGTGCTCTTCCTGTAGTTACTGGCTACATTTGCTCAAACACCTGCCCCCTCCCCCTTAAACCACCTGCCGTAAACAGCGTCTTCTGCCCGGGCATTTGTCCACGGTATCCACTAACTGCCGTGATCAGCCAAGTAATTAATTGCTTAATAATTACTGGGGCTATTTGGTGGTGCTCCATACTGACGTGTTGCCTGTTCACACAGTGATAGGAAAAGACATTGTACATAAAGAAAAACCAAAGCAAGCAAGACTGATGGTCCAGCTGCCGTGCTACTGTTAACTCTTTCAATAACGGCCATTATAAAGAAAAAAAGAGAGAGAGAGTTTTGAATTTGCCAGTTTAGAGCATTCTGACTGATCTTTCAAGGCTCACAGAAAATTTATTTATGCAAACGCAGAAAGTACAAAATGAAATGTCAACATCTGAACAGTCCTTCTCGAAAATACCAACAGCATCATTGATGACAAAATAATGTGTTTACAAATAATCACTAGTAGACCAAGTTTATATTTGACTAACTTGACAAACTATTTGCACGCTATTTAGTAGTAGTAGTAGTAGTATTAAGTAGTGTGTGTGTGTGTACAAACACTTTGATCGATCACAAGCTGCTTGTAACGGTCGAATTTCCAGAAATGTTCACCAGCGCCCATATTGTTTTGATATGCGGTGATCTCATCCTAAATCGACCCAATGCTACCATCTGCTGGCCATTGTTATTGGGGGTTTTTGCGTTTGTTTGTTTTTTTTGCTCACATCACCATCTGAATGACAAAACCAGAGGTACTCAAGACTTTCGTCCGCCCATTCCCAAATAAAAATCGCAAAGTGCAGTCTAACTGTGTGCATGGGTGGACAGGTGCAATTCAAAAAATGGGCGTTTGCACCGTCGTGGGAGTGAACACAGCCGACTTAATTCCTGGCAGATCAAAGCAACAGCCCGTATAATCTTTTAAATTCAGCGCATGTGAGTTGTACGGTCGACATAACAGAAGCGCAATGGACTCGCTGACATCAGCATGGAACACTCACATGAAGTGGTGTTTTGGAAAGATCATTCTTCTTTTTTTCCCCCGCAAGTTAATGAATACATTAATTTCCCCAATTGGTCACATACTAAAGTATTCACAGCGCATAGCTTCAGCGGTAGTAGCTGGCTAACATGCTGAGTTAAGCGTGTATCCTTATTGCTGATAAATTAAACATCATTGATAATTATCATAAACATCTTGATGATCTCGGGGGTTCATCAGATACTAAAAGCTGTAGGAAGTTCCAGTCTACCAAAGTACTACCCAGCGATCCGTTATGATTCTATTAGCCTTCTGTTCTTAACTGACACTTATCAGACAGCTGAGACGAGTCCCCAGGATTCATTATGTCACTGTGATTGTTGCGTATCCGTCAGCGGGCTAATTGCGCTGCCCATCACAGTAGTTAGCCCATCAGGCCCCGGGGGTAAAGTGCAAGCGAGTATCTGCCTGCCAACAAGGTCAACCTTGATGTCACTTCTTTTGGCTGCGTCCCTTTTTTTCATCCAGTTAGCCTTTTTAATGTTGTGTTCAGGGTTGTCAAAGAATGCGCATGGCCCCTAAAAACGCCAAACGTTTTTTTCTTTCTAAGGTTTACGCTGAAGTCGGTCATGTTAGCGGGCAAATTGCCCGACCTTCTTGATTTCATATTCCTGCTCTGACCGTCTTGAAATATAGTGCATGGTCATGGAGTGAATAAATTAACACAACACAGCAGATCAATAGCAATACGGCAAAAGAAAATGCGGTCTAATGATGGATTTATTCCACGCTGGAATACGCGCAGTTAATCATGGCCTGCTTGGCCTCTGCCTGCTTGCATTTGGTTAGAATTAGGATGCACACTTCTCTCGGGCCGGGCAGATTTAATCGGTCAGAGAGTTCAAGTCGGGTGCTGCTACAAAAATGTCACACAATGACCAGCCCGGGATTAGAGTGACGGATGTGGACGGTCCTAGGTCGGGTGAAGCCACCCGCACGCACGCAAAGACCCGTGAAGGCTCTTTTTAAAAATGGAAATATAATCTAGTCGGGGGGGAAGCCCTTTGACTGCATGCGTCAGGGTTGTCAAAGAATGCGCATGGCCCCTAAAAACCCCAAATGTTTTTTTCTTTCTAAGGTTTACGCTGAAGGCGGTCATGTTAGCGGTCAAATTGCCCGACGTTCTTGATTTCATATTCCTGCTCTGACCGTCTTGAAATATAGTGCATGGTCATGGAGTGAATAAATTAACACAACACAGCAGATCAATAGCAATACGGCAAAAGAAAATGCGGTCTAATGATGGATTTATTCCACGCTGGAATACGCGCAGTTAATCATGGCCTGCTTGGCCTCTGCCTGCTTGCATTTGGTTAGAATTAGGATGCACACTTCTCTCGGGCCGGGCAGATTTAATCGGTCAGAGAGTTCAAGTCGGGTGCTGCTACAAAAATGTCACACAATGACCAGCCCGGGATTAGAGTGACGGATGTGGACGGTCCTAGGTCGGGTGAAGCCACCCGCGCGCACGCAAAGACCCGTCCGTGAAAGCTTTTTTTAAAAATGGAAAGATAATCTAGTCGGGGTGGGGAAGTCCTTTGACTGCATGTGAGTGAAATGCCGACTGGAGCAATTTCAGGGATTGTGTGTCACAAGAGATATGCGATTCCCTCCCAGCTTCCATCTGGATCAGTGACTTATTAACATAAAGAACAAGCCAGGAAACACAAAGTGATGCGTGTGACAGCCGCACAAAAGACAAGTCGTCAAAGTTTGGAAATGCTGGAAGACAAGACACATCTTCTGACATCCTATTAAGACTAGAAAAATACTTCTAGTGCCTTATAGTGTATTGGATAATAATGAAATGGTGATTTAACATCAGATAAACGGCAATAGCTTGTGCCTCTCGGACTATGTTCCCTTCTCATTGTCTTTTGTCTTGTGTTTTTGGCTCATGCCAAAAATGGTGCCTAGCAAAAAGTGATCAGGTCCACGAACTAGCTAAACGCTACATTGCTTCCGAATGTTTTCAATGTCAACTCTTATTGTCTTTTCTCTGCTGTATGGGGCAGTAGAGCCAAGAAAACGGCATAGCGAGTGGCCACAAATTCTACAAGTGACCACATCAACAATGCTAACTAGCTATAGCTCACTCACTTCCTCTAAGTGTGTTCATGCTGTGTCTCCCTGTTGTTTATCTGCTGTATTGTGCACTAGAGCCAAGGAAGTGGCAGAGCCAGTGTGTCTTAGGCCACAAATTCTATCTAACAACGAGGGAACACGCCAGAAACACTCACGAGCAAATAGTTTCTGCCCAAGGCCCACTGTAGTCGAGCTAAGGAATCAGCATACTCACTATTTATTATGCCATGAATTCTGCCAAACGACAAGTTAGCGAAAACCTTAAATTAGCTAATAGCGGCCACCGATGTTCTCTTTTGACACTCGAATGGGTACAGAGCAATGCAGTAGTAGCAGCAGGCTAGCAATTCGGTTTTGTCAGAATTATGAATAAATGATCAAAAATTTCAGGTTCCACTGACCGGTATTAATTTTATGATTTTTATGACCATATTTTTTAAAAAAATCTAAATCTTGTAGGGTATGTTTGGCGCCGCAGCTCCAAACACAACAAGCTTTTGGAATCATTTCAATTCCGTTCAGCGGTAGACAATCACTCTTCTGGCATCCAGAAATATGGTGCCAATGTCACGTTCTCATTTTTGTGACAGTGAAAACGTAACCAGTCAGAGCGCGTGCTAGAAAGACTTGGTCTAATCCCTTTCGCGCTCTGCTTTCGTTGCAGCGTGGAGTTGGACTTTAAGCTGCAGGAGGACAAGCTGCAGCCGCTGATGAAGAGACTTTGCCCCCAGGACAGCCAACAATGTCCCTCCCTGCCTTACTCCAACGAAGTCTTCACATCCACTCCCAAACGCAAGTCCAAGTCTGACTCTAAGAAGCACGCCCGCTGGAAACTGTGGTTCCTTTGAATGGAACATGAATGCTTTGGAAACGGCCTTTTATCGGGCGCCCTAATATCCCGTGCTCGTCTCAAAACGGATAAACGAATATTCCGGAGGAGGAATCAAGCCAAGAGGATGGATAAGAGTACAGTAGAGAACCGTTCATTTTTGCGGGGTTCTGAGCTGAGACTGCACGTCAAGTCAGCGGGGAGAAAACAAAACACACAAAAAAATAAATATATCTTTCAAACTATGCCAAACGTTTTTCTGGCTCATTAGCTGGAGAGGACGGATGAACACCTGCAAATCTAGGTGAGCCTCGCAATACATTTTTTGCACAAATATTCCTTTGCTGTGGCGAAATGGCAGACGCTGGTCAAACTTGTTTGGATTGAAAATCCAATTCTTCCATCTAAAATTCTATTTCAATATGCGTCCGAGTCCAATTTTTCTTTTCCTTGGGACCTCTTAGCGGTCATACAAGTGTAAACACTTTTTTAAAAAAGGGCGTTCGATATCAGTTTTTTTCAGACCGATACCGAGTACCGATATCACTTCTAAGGATCTGGCAGCCCACCGGGAATTTTCACGGTGCTACAGAGGGGCTACTCCGGGCCTGGTAGTGCCACATAAAAGTGAAACACACTTGTCGCCACCTCGCTTAGTTTCCCAAGAAATTGTGGTTGAATTCATCAACTCGCATGTACACTGCAGCTGTCCGTCCCAAAGATTCATTTCAGTAATTCACTTCAAAAAGTGAAACTTGTCCATTTTACAGATGGATCAAAATACATAGGGAGGCTAATTTCGATATCGAGACTCATTTTGATTGTTTCTTATTTAATATTCTTCCTTTTTGAGGCGACGGGTATTCCATCGCCGTACAGGAGACTCATCAAAATACTGTATTTTATGAAATATATACAACCTGCGTAATTTGAATTCACACTCTGACGCCAAACGTGTTTTCTTCTTTTCCGCCTTGACAGCAGACCGCTTGGCAACAAGAGGAGACGCCACGTGAAGGGGGTTAGGAGGGGGGGCCTTTGATTGGTGAAGGTGTAAGCGTTGAATGGACAGCACCTCCGGCAAAGCACAACAATTGACTATTTACAAGGAACACGTGTCAAGGACTGACGTTCAGCACGGTGCTTCCCGCTCGGCCGAGGGCTCGCCCGCCGCTTTTTCGTCTTCTGTCACTCCTTTGAATTCAGTTCTCCGTGCAAACAACCGACCGACATCGCCTTAGATAAGACATCATGTTTATTCCCCCAACCCTACCACCACCACCACCACCTTAATGGATGGTACACGGAGTTCGGAATGTATGAATGTTTTTTTTTTTTTTTTTTTGCGCATTGGCTGTGTTTACTGCACCGTAAAGTATCTTCTGCAGGCTCGACTGAGCAGCGACATGATGGAGAAAGGTGCTTGAATTTTGTAGTTTTATGCCTCAGATGTAGGCAGGTGGAGTTGAGGTGATCAAGTCAGGGTTATAAAAATAGTCCCGCATGAACCAGCCGGGAAAAAAAAAAAAAAAAAAAAAACACCCTGCAGAAAATACACCAAGTAAATACAGCCACAGCCAATCTTTTCAATTATAATTAACGTATTTATAGGAAAGATAATGACATTTTGGCAGAGGAAAAAAAAAGGCATGAGTGAGTCTCTCCTTCATTTTTTAAAAACGGTATTTTCTGGATGAGCTCACGTTTTTAACAACACATGCATACATACTGTATTTGTATTTTTTTTGGGATGATGTGACGCTTTGGAAGTCCCGGTGGGAAGTAAAGGCTGTTTTTGAAAGGCCTTCTTGATGTTGTGATGATCGTTTATCGCATGATGAACTTGTACTGAAATGCCACTTTTCTCCTCCGGAGGCAGCAGTGGATAGAAATCAATTTGTTCACTCTTGGGCTCAAGCTTAGAAAGTTTTTTTTTTTTTTTTTCACGGATGTCACAATATTATCTTACAATGTCACCTGCAGATTTCTCTCGTATATAAGCAACTGGAGGATGCCAAGAGGTATACATTGCGATCATCTTTACTACTTTACAGTTCTATTTGCCATTCAGTCGCTCAAACTAACAATCTTAAAAGCAGAATTGTAGCCAAGAAAATATATTTTTTTTACCTGTACCCAATGTGGCCGTTGTACTGTAAGAGCATGCTGTCACAATGCGGCTACAGTAAAGCCAGGCAGTACTTTTGTCCAAGTGAAGCCCCTCAACTCACTTCAACATAGTTCCCGGGTCCCAAAATACTGTAAGATTGTAGCAAAGCACTAATTATGTCTCAATGAAGCTCCTCGTCGCACTTCAATGTAGTTCCGTGACACCAAAATACCCCAAGGGGGTGACAAAGCTCTACTTTTATCTCAATGAAGCTCATCAACTCGCCTCAACATTGTTTCTCAGCACCAAAATGCCACGAGACAGTGGCAAAGCACTGCTTTAGTCTAAATGAAGCTCCTCAATTCAGTTTCACATAGTTCGTGGGCACCAACATGCCACCTGGTAGCAAAGCTCTACTTTTGTCTAAATGAAGCTTTTTAACTCACTCAACATAGTTGCTTGCCATTAAAATGCTGCAATGTGGTGGCAAAGCTCTGCTATAAATGAAGCTTTTCAACTTCAATATGGTTTCTCTGCACCAAAATACAACAAGATGGGGGCAAAGCACTACTTTTGTTTTCATTAAATTCCTCATAGTTTTTTGTTTTCAACTCACTTCAGCATCGTTCCTTGGCAACAAAATTCCACAGAATGGTGGCAAAGCACTAATCTTATCTTAATGAAGCTCCTCAACTCACTCTAGCATAGTTCCTGAGCAACAAAGTGCCCAAAGATGGTAGCAAACCCCTCTGTTTGTCTACAAGGAGCCCCTCAACTCTCTTCAACATAGTTCCTTGGCAACAAAAAAGGCAAACAACAGCGCCAAAGTATTAATTTGACCTTGCCTTGTCATTACATCATGTTATTTTACCAACTTGACGTAACCCATCAAACTGTGCAGTTGTGGCAACATTGTTATTTCATTTCTTCTCTTTCTACATCTCAATTAAATACTTTTCAACGACACAGCCTCAGTCATCAACCCTTCCCCGTGGCTTCTTTTGTGCTGCAGAGGTGCGGACGGAGCATGAACGGCACTCAGGGGCGCCGAGTGCCATGTGAATATCCGTCACAGAAAAAGAAGAAAAAAAAAACACTTCTGTCATAGAATCGTAGAGGTTGGGAGTCCAGCTCATCAGAGTGACCGAACCGTGTGCATCTATTATCCTTCTGTCTTTATCGCACCCCCTGCGGTGTGCCCGTCTCTGTCATTATTCTTGAGACTCAGCAGATTTCCTTCTCTTTTATTTCTGCGCCGCTTGCCTTCCCTCGCTCTCTCTTTTTCTCACGTCATTTGATTCCCGCAGCGTTCCCCTAATCTATTTATTTCCACAGTTCATAATTCACCATGTTTAGCTCCACGCGCTTGCTGTCTCTTCCTCGCTTGTAAACAAATGGAAAATCTCATTTTCTGTCAAGCCAAATTGAGGCGTCGCAGTCTGAAAATTTTCTCATTTGGGACAATTATTGCTAATCTTATGAAACCGGTACTTTTTGGTGGGTCCTTCCCCAACAGTATCAGTCATTCATTGGTTTCTGTGTTTGCAAGAGTTGATTTTTTTTTTTCCAGCTACACTGGGGTCATGAACTTTTACAGACTGAGAATGATACTGGAAAAAAAATGGTGTGATGAATTTACTCAATTTTATTTCGTCAAGTGGCTGCACAAAATAAAAGAATCTGGGTCCCCATACGTTTTTTTTTTTTTTAAATGGATTTATAGTCTACCACAGCACAAACAAAATGACGAGACAATTAGGCACACCTGGACAAGATTAGAGTGGCTAGAGTCATCCCAAATTCTGCTCAACAGGTAAGTTCATCCTTTTTGATTTTGAATCGACAGAACAGTCGAAAAAAATAAAACTTTGAACCGGTAACATTTCATTTTATAGTAACACTAGCACTCCACTACGAATAAGTCACTGGTGAAATTAGCTCCATTTCAAATCTTGCTAGCATTCTAAAACTGCAAATTTCCCCTTTTTGTTCTTCGACTTCTCCCTTTCATAATTTTGCTGGTGTAAATTGGAATTTCTCCATTGTGAGACAAATAAAGGTTTTCTTATCTTCTCTGATCTTTCACTGAGTTCTCGTGTGACATCATCCATCACGTCGTGATCAAATTCCATTTGTAAGATGTTCCACTCCGGTTGCGCTCGGCCAACTCAGCGAGAATGTGACAAATTGAGTAGCGGGATGTGGATTTTAAAGATGAAAACGGGGAAACACGGGTGGCACAAAGTCAACCATTTGCATGCGCGAGGACAGAGCTGCTCATTATCACCTCATGAAGAGGCTCGCCTACTTTGCAGGACTCCATCAAACATAGCAGATTACTCACCACGCACACACGCGCCAGATCATGTTGGAGAAGGCTCATCGGGAAGATAATAAGAACAAAATGACCTGCTGCGGGATTTCGGAGTGTGAGAGGCATTTTTATGTGGGCCGCAATCAGTAACTTCATCAGCCGTCCCAAATGACCTGCATGGCGTGGGATGAATGTTTAATCAATCAGCGACCACACGCACACAAAAAAAAAAAAAAAACTAATTTAAAAGGAGAAATGCCTGTGGAAAAGTAAGAATTAACAAGGCAGAAAGCAAGAATTGTACTCCTCTTAACGCTTGTGATATATTGTGTGTCAAGTTCACCCGTTTGAGATTTATAATTAGAAAACTTCAGAGGAAACGGTGGTGCAACACACGTAGACAGATTCGCAGGCGCATATTCTTTATCCTCTAAAAAAATGATTTACTGACATTAACGGAGGTGTTTTGACCACTGACATGTACAGTATCTGTAAGACGTATTGCAATTATACTGCCACCCGGAGCAGCACAATATGCACTGAGTTGAAGCAAAGAAAATAATAAATAAATAGGAAGCTGATGCTAATGATGTCATGACTGTATCTTTTAATAAAGTGCAAAATAATAAAGGGATATTTTTCTTATATTAAAAAAAAAAAGATTTAGTGTGAATTTTAGAACGTACTAATGGCATTTCCATTCATTTCAATGGGGAAAATTATTTGGAAAAATGATTTGTTTTGACCTGTGTGGTCAAGGAACAAATTACACTCAAATTTAAAAGGCACAACTGTATTGTCGGCACTCTCCCTTGTGATGAATTGAGGCAGCGCATGTACTTCAGTTGAGGCCATAATTAGAGGAAATACTGTGATAAATATTCGATCAATGCTACGGGAAGAGAACTGTTTCCCAGCTTCTGTTTTGGTGAGCAAATGCGTCCAAATGGGCTTAGCAGTGTACGTCTGTCGAGTAACGGAGGCAGGCCATGTTCTCAGGTCATTACAAACGGTGCACACACACACACATGGGACCACAATGAAACTTGAAACAAATTTAGGTTTTGTTTAAAAAAAAAGCCAAATTGCGACTATATATAAATAACAAGAAAAACACTTTTAATAACATCTTGCAGGTTAGCCGCCCTCTTGTTTTTGACTGAATAAAACATAAAGCGCTAGGGCTAATACGCCCCATCCATGTTTTTCTGCTTGTGTACTCCAATCAATAATGTAAAGCTTTTAAACAGAAACTCTTGAAACTCATTTAGGGCTTGCGGGCAAGCAAACATTCATTGAACGCTAATAACCTGGCTGAATTATTCAACGTATATTTTATCCAGCACGTACCCGGGAGGGGGTGGGGGGGAGTCTAGTTAAGCGTCACGGCGTCTTGCCGTGTGACCGGTGAGAGGCCGATGAACGACGGGCGGCGTAACAAAGCGTGACAGGCGATCCGTCGACGGGGCGGACGCGACGTGCCGGCGGCGTGACAACAAATAGGACCAGCGCGCCATCTTGTCGCCGCCACACCATGTGACAAACATATGGCGGGTGTCAGCAGGGGAAGAAAAAAAAAAGACTAAACGCTTTGGATGACGAACGGCGCCGATCGCGCTTGTCGCCGATCTCTGGCAGTTTGACTTGACGCACACGCGCACACAAATTGGCTGCAAGCCACTGAGCCAAAAGTGTCCAATGATGAGTGTCTGCGTGAGCAATTGTGCTTGCATCTTAAATAACTAAATCACTCAATATCACGTCCACTGGCAGTCGAAAGCTCTCTGGATCACAACCCGGTGGATACAAAAATTGTCGCCCACCCCAAAGGTTTTCAGAATAGCCTATAAATGCCACGAGATGGTGGGAATCCAGTTTTATTTCAACTACACAAAGCCTTGGCTTGATAAAATGAAGCTTCTCCACTCAGTTCAACATAGCCTACAATTCACTCTTCAGTGGTGCGCCCCCCTTTAAAATGAATGCCATTAGACTGTTCCACCTTCCCTCCAAAATAAAAGTTTAAAAAAAAAAGTGAGGATTTGTTGCCTTGTGGTATCTCAGGGCCAAAGAACAATGTTGAAATGAGTTGAGGAGCTTCATTTGGGAAAAATGTTGTGCTTTGTTACCATTTTGTGGCATCTTGGTGCCAATGAACTATGTTCGGGTTAGTTGTGGAGTTTCATATCCAGACAAAACTAGTAATTTGCTGCCATTTAGACAGCACTAATGGTAAATGGTGTCCAAAGTTCTTTACGGCGTGGGTTGCCGACATTTTGCATCTTGGTGAAAACTATGTTGAGGTGAAATGAAGAGCTTCAAAGTACTCTATTGAACGGGACAAACAGTCAAACACCCAAATACAAAATAAAAAGAGTCACAAGGAGAACGGACAAGATAGTAGCCCTGAACTACTTACGGCGTGGGTTGCCGACATTTTGCATCTTGGTGCAAACAAACTACGTTGAAGTGTGTTGAAGAGCTTCAAAGTACTTTATTGAACAGGACAAACAGTCAAACACCCAAATACAAAATGAAAAGAGTCACAAGGAGAACGGATGAGATAGTAGCCCTGAACTAACTGAGCTTTCTCTTTATTAAAGAAGAAACAAAAAAAAAAATGCTAGTGGCTGTTTGGGAAGCTGGAACAGATTGCAGTATTAGCATTTGAGTTGATTTCAGTCATAAAAATGCACCGCGAATATGTCGAGAAGAGGAAACTCGGCCATTCATAGATGTTCAACTATCCAACTTCTTTTCGCAGACAACATCTGCTCCAACTTGTAATTGCATCCATTTCGGCGATGACAACGGGGGGCATGGCCGTGGTGCGCGCCTGCATAAATGGCTTCGTAGAGGACGCCGGTTTTACCCGCCTCGGCCCGACGCAAGGATGGATTCATTGGAGCCGCGTGTGACAGCAGGCAGTAAATAATCATTTGGCCCGCACAAGTGGTGGAAGGAGGCACATTGTCTGTACGGCGCCTGGGCGACTTGATTTCCACAACAAATGAGACGTAAGCCAGATCTGACACGGCCTCCGTCATTCCGTATGCACGCTGAGTCCGCCGCATTGGTTGGGAAAGTAACCTTGAGTTGAAATGAGTGCGTCGGTTTTGATGGGAGCAACACAATGCGTACACCTGCATCATGGAATGAGAGTTGTTTACTGTCTGCTAGGCATTAAAACAATCTGAAACAATAGCGACAGGGAATGAGCAAACTCGAAATAGCTCTCTGCACAATGTAGTTGCGCTTTTGAAGCAACCTCAATGTCTTTCTGTCAATCTACAGTAGGTGGGGTTTTTTTTCTCCAAGTCAGAACGTTTCATCCACTTGGTTTTTCCTCCCTCGTTCCAAAAAAAACACACATCGTATGTCTGTAGCTGTAAATTTTACCAGTGTCTAGCTCTTGGAATGAAACTCATTAAATTGTGGTCCTTGATGGAAAAAAAAACATGTTTTCCATTTTGTTTTAATTTATAAATTATGTTTTGCTGTGGAGAAAACAATCTTGACCTGGGTAGTTTTTTTTTTAAAATGCTATATTAAATTATCCACTTTTAGGTACTCTCCGCAATCGAAATAGACCACACACATGGGAAAAAAATACATTTTGTGTAAAAATTTGGGGAGGCAAAAAAGTCATCCTTGTCAGACTGAAGTCATATATTTTCCAATATGAACTCATTTTAAAAATGTGCTCAAAATATCTTGAAAATTGGCAGCTATCTCAAAAATCAAAGATACAAACACAAAAATATCCAACTTCATTCTCATGAAATGACTAATTAATTTTTTAAATCTATTTTAAAAAAAAAATCACAAAAATAATGTCATTCTCATGAAATTCCAGCTTGAATCTTTTATGAACCTAGTCAAAACATTCCCCAACATGTACAAGATTATTTTTCCGTAATCTGATTTTCAACCCAAACCCTTTTGCATTAATTATTCTTCTTATAGCTTGCGTAGAACTGCACTACACCATGACAAGGGCAGTTCCAAATATTTCTTCCCTTGTGTCTAATCCTTTCGGGGACAGCGGTCACGACGGTGGACGGATTATCATGTTTTCAGGTTACAGGGTGCATGAAAGGGTTAAGGTCACCAAAATATGAGAAACAAACTTTGGTACAATGACATGGTTGAAATGCAGGTGGACTGAATGTTGTGTCCAATGACTTGGCTTGTGAAGTCCCATATTTGATGAAAGCCAGCAGAGCAGCGCAATCTCCTCCGAGCCCTTCACAGTCTGCAAATCCTGCTCGAATGTAAACGACTGGAGCAGGTAATGCGCTTACGCACTCTACACAACATGCATGGATCGCTTTATATATGCCCGCTCATTCTTGTTTTATTTATTTTAAAAGAGCGTTTGCTTAATCCGGCTGTCTCTAATTGATTTCAGGTGGCTGGCCAGGCCCTTCGTTCGGCAACGTTGGCCGCCGCTCTCTTCTAACATGTGGGCTGCAGATTTTCGCCGCATTGAACTGGCTGCCAAGAGCGTCTCTTTCTCGCCCGTCTCATCCGCTGAGCCAGAGAACTGTCACGGTTGGCCACACTTTTAACACGAGCGACGTGTGGATTCACCATCGCTAGTTAGCATACATTTTTATTGTAAATAAGCATTTGGAACTGCGGAGAATAAGTGGTAGTCCATTGGACCAGTGGTGAGCACGTCTGCTCCACAGTTCAGAGGTTCGAATCTCGGCTCGGCTGGAATCGGCATGTGTACGTTTGTTTCTTTAATCTAATATTCCAAAATCATGTATGTTCAATTCCCTGAAGGATCTACTCTTTGATTGTTCATGATTGAGGTCAGCTGTGACCGCACCCACAGTGACGCAACCCTCCCTTCTCTCAGATCCGCCACACATCATGCAAGATTCTCGTCATTTCAGAAAATGGAGAATAACGAATTCCCTCCCACCACCACCACCGCGGTGTGGAATGCGGGTTCACCGTACTTCAATTTACCTATCATGTATCCTATTTAAATGGTTTGTGCCCCACTAATTGGTTTCATATGAAAATGCCATCGAGCAGGAATAAATAGCAGAGGTCAGCAAATGCATAACAAACAGGTGCTCAATCAAAGATGCACTTACAGTTAAGACAGAGCTGCCACCAAGAAGCCATCGATCACAACGGGGCCATCGGGGTGTCAGGCTCGCTGAGTCTCGCTATCGCCCCGGCTCTCGCTCCATCATCATCGGAGAGTGGCCGCTGTGTGAGATAATCGTTTATCTCACACACGGGGCCATGGTGGTCCTCAAGGCGTGTTCGTCAATGTCACAGGGATTTTCATTTGCTCAGCCACTAAGTCGCCTCCTGACCAATGAACTCACCCCAAAAATCTTGATAAACTGCCCTATCCATCTATCTATCTATCTATCTATCTATCTATCTATCTATCTATCTATCTGTCTGTCTGTCTGTCTGTCTATCTGTCTTTCTATCTGTCTGTCTGTCTATCTAACTACGAGCAGGCTAGCTAGCTATGTGTCTATCTAGCTAGCTAGCTAGACAATAGACAGCTAAGCGACATCTGTTAAGCCAAAAGAGACGGCGCTTCCATCAGTAAGACAACACTGATAAATATTTGACCCACCCCAACCAATCTGTATTTGTACAAATGACACCCTCACCTTAATTCAACTTTTTAGTAGTTTTAAGCAACTGAATACGTAAGCATCATGGCAACTTTATGATGGCAACTATTCATTCTTCTCAAAGAGTGTCTGCTACTGCATCATTCCTGACGCATTTTTTGGGGTCCCAAAGCAGCACAATGCATTGCAGCTTGACACAAACGATATCTATTGTGCTAATGATCGTTCCAGTGGTGGCTTGACACAGTGGACCTAATCAATATTTTGCCAGAGAGAACACAAGCCACAACATTGTCTCCATTCCAGTTTTCTGCCTCCGAGCTGACGGTCTTTATTTGTTGGCCCGAGATCATCCATCCATCCACAGACGGTTTGTTAAGTGGTGTGGCAGTCCAGCAGCACAATGATAGGAAACAGGGGTGGACACTGGGAATTTGGGGAAAATATGTTCAAATTTAGCGAATGATGGCCACAAGAAGTTCTTCTTTGTGTGTCTCTCGATGGCTGTATAATGCTGCCCCCACATGGCCAAAGCATGCACACCATAAGTAGCAGCACAATGTCCAGTGAACTGAAGCAAAAAAAAAAAAATGCAAAAACTGTTTAACTCTTTATTGTCTGTTGGGAATATGTCATCGCTGCTTGTACCACACCGTGCGATTCTATATTCTCCCAGTAACTCATTAATATTCAGGTGTGCAATAGGAAGCTCTTTTGCCAAGACGGCAACCTGAGAGTCAGTCACCCGCTGTGCTACGTGAGCCTCGTATGCTGCTGCTGCTGCCTTTCAGCAGGTCTTAACTCCTAAAGCACCCACAGAAAAAAGCTAGCTTGACCTAAAGTTTGGGTCAAGGATTTATCAAGATTCTCAACGGTTCACGTTTCACGATTAGTGTTTCACACCCACAGAGAGACGAGCTTTTGTCTTTTTTTTTTCCCCCCCTCAGTTTCAACAGAGAGCCAGATACCATCTGATGACCGAGGTCATTCATTCTGTTATCTTGACTGAGGGTGTTCGGATTTAACGCTGTCCAATGACGGAGAGTTTCAGAAGAAAAGGACAATGGCTGGCATCTTGACACTTGAAAAGGTAAGATGGCTCCACAGCACATGCATCCAAGGTTGACGTTTAATATCGAATACGGCGTGCCCCAAGTAGCAAAATTAATGAAAAAAAGTAATTGATGCCTGCCCAAAAAGATTTGTATTTTCCTATAAATGTCACAAGATGCTGGCAATGGTTGGTTGTTGTTGTTGTTTTTTAATAAACAAGGCTTTGACCTGACTAAATTAAGCTCTTTCTCTCACTTAAATATACGGTAATTCCTTGGCACCAAGATGGCACCGAAACAATATTTGTACATCGCTTTGGCCTGAGAACAACCTTTCAAATGGACTTACTTTTATATTTCACATGACAAAAAAAAAAAAAATTGATAATAGTCAAATCTTAAGTTCTGTATGAGATCATGGTAAAAAAAAAAAAAAAAACACCCAGATAAGCTCTATCCTGTGTCTCCGTGTTACAATTGGCCTTAACACTCCCGAGGTTCCATTGTTCAGTGTTAGGGACGAATCAGGAATGTGCACGGCACAAGAAGCACATGGCAGAGAGTCACACCGTGTGCTGCCAGTCGAGCTGATCTCGCATCAAGTCTGCTTGCCAGAAGGAAAACGAATCTCAGCTGCGGGTTGGGATAAAAGCATGAAGTGGAGAATGTGATAATCAAGTGCTATTTTCACATGTGATGAACATGGTGAGTGTGATTGTTTTCACTCTGGAGGCCCGCCGCATTCTTTCATCTTGTGTACTCGCAGCAGGGATAGAAGAAACGAGATGGCTTTCTGCAGCTGGAAGCCGATCGACAGCTCACGTCGGTGAAGTAAACATCTACTCACATCATTACCTGCAAGGTCAAATGACCTGGAAAGTTACTGAAGGCTGTTTTCTCGACTACACTTCCCCTAAAGGTACTGTAGCTTTACAACATACCGCTGTACAGTAGTCCTGAGAAAATAATGGAAATACACTCAACTGAGCAACCGTGAACTAGAGTGAGCTAAAACCATATTTTCCGGCTGCAATTAAACTAGAAGTTTGCAATTAAAAAAAAAAAAACTTGTCAGTGAAAACAAATAAATCAGCCCATTCTGGCCCCGTCTTGTACCTGAAATTTCAAACCACCGTGCCAGAGGAAAATCAACCAATCAGACAGAAAGCGAGACATCTCCACCTCCAGAAATGAGAAAAGTGTTCATCGCTTACTTGCGGACAACTGTACATACTGCAAAACAAATGCATCCAAAACAAAAAAAAAAAAGAAAAAAGAAAAAAAAGAAGAATTGCACAGATCCCAAAGCAAAACTAGAGTGGAGTTTTTGTTTTTTAATTGCATGTGCAAATCAAAACAACCCCCCCCCCCCAAAAAATGTAAACCAATCCCATTCAGCGTTATAGAAACACACCATTAATAGTTATGCCATTAGCATAGCTAATAATTTTTACCCATAACTTGGATTAAGTCAATTCCACAGTATAATATTTTCGTATTTTAGATATCTACTTTTATTTCTTTACTTTTAAATGGTTTGAATGTTTTTAAAGACTTCTTCTCATGTGTTTAAATGTAGTCATTGTATTTTCTTTTTTTAAGCTACTTTTGTTTGCTCTGCTTGACTTCTGAATGTCGTTGTTTGGCTTGTGTGAAGCACATTGAGTTGTCTTGTGTACTTTTTTTTGTTTTTTTTAATCTATGTCTGCCACTGCTGATAGAGAATTAACAGAACAAGCATTGGAGTGATCCCCTCAAAGTTCCTTTGAGCTTTAGAGAGCCAGCAGATATCAGTATAGGATTAAAAAGTTTATGTTTTATGTTCAAAAGAGGAAGCAATATCAGACAACCTTCAAGCGCAGAAGAAAAAAGTGAGGCATCCGTGTGTTGTCAAAAGCAGCTCACGCTGAAATAAATCAAATGTGGAGTGTAAGGTTTGACTTCTCGCAGCTGGAGGAAGAGTTGAGTGTGTTCTTTTTTTTTTTTTCTTGCAGTTGTCATAGTGGTACACGTGTTTATTTCAAACCACGTTGCCAAGGCAACGGGGACAAGATCAGCAGGCAAGTGTGGTGGATGATGACGATGCCTCTTAAATGATATCAAGTGTGTGTTTCAATCATCCTTGACTGTGTTTTATTTTTATTTTTTTGCAGTGATGCAACCACAGAAGGATACCAACGATGACAAAGAAGTAAAGACCCAAAATGGTCCCTGAACAACATGGCACCAATAAGCGATGATTAGAAGATAACATTTAAAAACAAAAGCTTCAAAGGGTGACAACAGTATTAATGTTTTCTACTCTTCATGGCAGTTAACTCGGATAACGGTTAAGAACTGTCAAAAATGTCAACAATATTCAGTGGAACCTTGATTTAACGGACCCCAAATCAACGGATCCCAGATTCAACACACGAAAAATAGCGTCCGGCACACTCAAAGGGCCCCCTGCGAAATCTTTCTGGACAGTAGACTAGAGCAGGCTAAAAAAGTGCATTCATGTGGCAGCCGTGCTCGCATGGGCAACTGTCCCATGGACGATAATGGAACGCATGGATGTTAGCTTAGCATCTTCGTAGCCACACAGATCAAAAGCCGCATGTTATATCGACCTATTTATATCTGTGGCTATTTTTTACTCGGGCGCTAGTCGTGTACTCATTTCTGGACATGTTATTTTTGGCACAATTTGGAAAAAAATCATGCCTGTGCAATTCATAAAGCTTAGATAATAGCAACAGCTTGACCCAAAATTCTGATTCCTGTCCATTACTTTCTTTTGGATTTTAGTCAAAATCAGAGGTTCCGGAAAGATTCTGCTACGGATCCGATGCAGTCCAGTACATGACAGATTCTTCCAGAGCTGGAATCACTCAGGCCATGAGATTCTGCAACGGCCGGCAGGATGTGTGCCAACGGGATTCTGCAATCATGAGGCCTAATGAGGGCAGACAAGCCCACTCAGCAGCTGATGGATTGGCGGCGAGCGGTGCGGCGGGGAATAGGACTGTTCGGATTGCGGAGGGGGATAGCGGACTGCGCGTGGTGATAGATGGCTCAATCATTCCGATGTCTCCGCCGGTCTCCTACCGGACCTGCGTTCGCCGAGAGGTGCCTCTGAGGTGCACCAGCTCTGTTGTGTTTCTGGACAAGCTATTTTCAGCCTCCCTGGTGGCACCGGACAGGAGAGGAGCGGGGCAAAACGCTCGCTATAAGTCCACCGCGTTTGTTCAGATCTGCTCACCCTCCACGAAAGAAAGTTCCGGAGGTCCCGGTGTGGCCGTGTTGGGCGGAGAGCAGCACGGCGATGGCAAGAATTGGGTTCAGCGTGGAGAAGTGACATGTGAGTTTCATGTCTAACGCTTCACGTTTCAAGCAAGACCCAAAGTTAATCCAGCCACCCACGCTGCCATTCACATTTAATTTCTTCACTCATGATAGATTTGCCTACCAAATGTCATGTTGTTGAGTGAAACTGATTTTGGGAGATGAATTTCCGCCAGGCTGGGCGATACTGTATCACACTAGATCGTCATGGAGCTATTCCAAGCTGCGACGAGACGCTCTAAAGCGGCCACACCACCAGGAAAGCAATATCCTGATGCTGGCTGTTCCATTCGCCCTTTTTTTTTGTTTTGTTTTGTTTTACGTCACTCTTCCTCATTCCCTCTGTGGCATCCCTGCACTTAGGGCCAACTACAACGCTCTCTAAAGCATCCACCTCAGCCAGAAGCACCAATCCACATACTGGCTGTCACATTTCTTTTAACCTTCCTTTTTCTCCTACTCATGCTGACAACGAGGCACTCTAAAGTGGCCATCCCAGCAAAAAGCCTTGTCTACACTTGAGCTGTAAAATCAGACTTGAAAAACAAGATGTAATCAGTCTCCTCACTCTTCCATCTTTCTTTGTGTGACATGCGCACTCTCACAGCAGACAACGAGGCGCTCTCAAGCGGTCGTGCCAACAGACAGTCCTTAGGAAAGGTGTCACCGTTGCGAAAGCAAGACCCAAAGTTAATCCAGCCACCCACGCTGCCATTCACATTTGATTTCTTCACTCATGATAGATTTGTCTACCAAATGCCATGTTGCTGAGTGAAACTGATTTTGGGAGATGAATTTCCACCAGGCTGGGCGATACTGTATCACACGAGATCATCATGGAGCTTTTCCAAACTGCTGGGGGGGGGGGGCGGCAACTCATACCCCAAAAAAATAATGAAAAGTCAAATGGTAAAACCCAGTTTAACATTACTGTCATTATAATTCAGTAATACATACTTCTCAATCTTAGCATATGTTTTCCGCAAATGTCTTCACACAAATCTCAGAATTCATTTTCCAGGGTCTTTGAAAGAAAAATGTCAAGATATTCTGGTGAGACGCTAAGTCTCCTAACTCTTCCATCTTTCTTTGTGTGACATGCGCACTCTCACAGCAGACAACGAGGCGCTCTCAAGCGGTCGTGCCAACAGACAGTACTTAGGAAAGGTGTCACCGTTGCGAAGGCAGTCAGATTTTTATATCATGGGGGGGGGGGCGGCAACTCATACCTGACCCCAAAGTGCGTCTTATTTCTCCATTTTAACCACACCTCAAAAAAATAATGAAGAGTCAAATGGTAAAACGCAGTTTAACATTACTGTCATTATAATTCAGCAATACATACTTCTCAATCTCAAAGAAAAATGTCAAGATATTCTGGTGAGACGCTGCGTGGATTTAAGGTGTCCACCACCGCCGGTGACAGTTCATGGCACTAAGCCATCATCTCTGTCATTATTTATAGCCACATTCTCCCGCGTTGACACTTCCAAATGCATCGCTCCACATTTTGCAGCATGACTTTGTGCAGATGTCACAGCGAGGGGGGAAAAAAAAAAAAAAAAAAAAACAACAACTCCAGAAAGCAATGTAGCCCCCTTCGGCGTCTCGGTCCTGAATGTGAATTCAGTGGAGATGTTCCATAAAAGCAGCATGAACGGAAATTACAGAAGCAGGATAGATGCACTGTCATCTTTTGCATTATTCATCGGCCACACTCACGTTGCCGACGGCTCTTTTTCACTTTATGAGCCGCTGCTGGTGGTCATTTTCTAGATGGCTTCTTCTTCTTCTTCTTCTTCTTCTTCGGCTTCTTCATCTGCTTCTTCTCATTTATATGCATCATAAAGCTCCCATGGAACTCCAGAACATGGTGGAAACATTTATTGCGGTGCGGGAATTTGACCATAATTCAATAATCTCATTCACCTAATATAATTGTTTTCTTCTCCCTCAGCAACTCACGACAGGATAGGAGAAGCCCAAGAACGTCCTGCGAGGTCGCCAACAGGTCGCGAGATGGATTATTGTCGTTTCTACTTGAAGACAAACACTCTGGAAGCCTCACCCAAGTCCCTCAGTCTCAAAGTAGGATATTTCGCTGTCTTGGAAGTACTGCAGTCGTATTTCCAAATATGTTGGAATGTATTTGCCAGTCAAAAATATTTACTCCCCAGTGGCAGTTCCACACTTCTGTACAGCAGTGCCGTGAGATACAAGTTGATTTTGTTCCATGACCACACAGACAACACTCTCATCTCAAATAACCTTTCCCCATTGAAGTGAATGGGAATTTCAGTAATGCAGTCCAGCCTTAGAGCAAAATACTTTTTGTTTGATTTTTTTTTTGTTTTGTTTTGTTTTGGGGGGGTTATAAGCTTCAATTCAATGGACATCGTGCTGCTCCTTGTGTGCGCCTTTGCCACCTGGCCCACTATGTCCATAATAATTAAGAATCAATTAATTGCACCTCTAATATCGGAATTTCTCCTGATTTCAAATGTTCTTATCGTTTTCCCTCTTTCATCATCTTCGGATGTGCTTCTGTGGGTGAATCCAGGAAAAGTCCTTGAGGATTTGCGATCCGCTCCCAATGCTCTCATCCCCTCCACAGCGGAGCATAACGTGAACACTTCCTCCCTATTACAAGGCCGGGGAGCGGATTTATCAACGTTAAGAAATAGATTATGTTCCAAGCAGCTTGAACCCAGCGTTTTTTGTTTTTTTTTTTAACTCCATCTTTGTGCAGGATTAGTGTCAAAGAGTCGCTGAACTTTTTCCCATCAATAAGCAAGCGGCTCTCTCTGGATCTTCTCCTCTCACACCTCTACCCCGTCCCAGGAGGCTCTGGAGCTCTTCAGGCCAGACTTCATTAGCCGATCTCGGGCTCGAGTGAGGAGGATGGAACAGAGGAGGAGGAGGAGGAGGACAGTGAAGAGGAGGAGCGCCAGCCCGGCGCAAGACGGAAGCGTGCGAATGAGGAGGTGCACCACGCCGGATCCGCTAAGTGGTGAGCGTTGACCCGGGACGTCCGGGCCTGCGTTCATTTCTCCTTTTATTACACTTTTTTTTTTTTTACTCTTGTTACACATGATAACACACTTTAAGGGGTTGGGACCTCTTGTGAAAACTTTATAAGAAAGCAGTTAGAAGCCAATGGAGGGGAATTTATTACGGTTAAATCTGTGGACGAGTTCATTTCGACTTCAAACCTCAATGAGTTCGGAGACTTATAGCGGTAGTTTGTTATATGAGGGCGGGCTTCCTCAAATGGCATTTGTCCAACTTTGCCCTCTACTGGCAGTTAGGTAGCTTTGCAGCTCGATTTAAACGTGGGTCAGTCGTGCAAACTAACTGGACACTTTGTGTGTGTGTGTGTGTGTGTGTGTGTGTGTGTGTGTGTGTGTGTGTGTGTGTGTGTGTGTGTGTGTGTGTGTGTGTGTGTGTGTGTGTGTCCTAGATAACCTTTTCAAGCCAAGAGAGAGGTCAATTTCGGGCAGAGAAATGCAGCAGCGATCAAGAAGGTGAGTTCTGTTCCTCAGGGCAAACAACACATGATGAAGTCATTCACTTACAATTTTACAGGTGGGCAAACTCCAATTCATTTGTATTGTGAAATGATTTTTTTTTTTCAAATAAGCAGTTTCACAGTCAAACCATGGTCATCTTAAAACGTTTATTAACTGTACAGCCAGTGTTGTCAGTACCATTGGAAAAATTTTAATGGCCACCTTACTACGATAGTGATGCAACAAATAATCGACAAATAATCCGATTACTCGACAAATAATCGATTAATAAATGAATGAAATCTGTAATTATTCATGGCGATCAATTGTTTATAAACTTTGATTTAAAATTGTCAGAATCCTAAAATTTCATAGATTTTCGCTTTTAGTAAAGCAGATGTAACTTCAGCATGAATAAATTAACGTTTTAAAAAATATGAATTTTTAAAATGTGAACTCAATTGGGCTTTCCAACTTAAAAGATATTCTGCGGCATGAAGTAACTATTCATCACATCGTGCATATTAGCCACAATATGCCGCACGTACACACACACACACACACACACACACAATGTGAGATGTCTGGACATCATGACAGGAGATATGAACAGCCCTCCATGTGCCTTATCTGCTCATTTTTATTATGGTTATCTGCAACATGCCCCCCCCCCACACACACACACACACACACACACACACAAACACACTTCTACTCCACTCTCCTCCAATCAGATGCTGGCAAGCCATTGTAACTTTTTCAAAGGTGACACTATCTGACTGCTAGGATCTGCGAACACGCCGCCAGCGGCATGTAAAGGAATGAAAGGGGAGTCTTGTGCATAAGACCCGTTTTCCAGATAAGTCCCCGTGTCGCACGATTCCCTCATGGTGGTGTGCGCGTGTGTGCAGGATGTACAACAAGCTGCCAGAGGTGGAAAGGAAAAAGCAGGAGGAGGAGAAGAGAGCAGTGTCACAGGCCAACAGACTGCGAGCAGACCTCTTTAAGAAGGTGAACACCTTTTAATACCGTTCGATGGAAATTATATTAAATAATAATTCGATAAGTGATCATGGCTGAGATTTATGAGGCACCTTTCAAGGACTCCGGGATGCCTCTCTGTATTTCATAGGGTCATTAAAATGTAAGGCATGTACTGTGGGTATGTGCTGTGTGCGTCGCGGTGTGCTATTCCTGTAAGCTATTAAAAACAGAATCAAATTGTTTTTTTCAGGATATGTTTTTTTTTAATCCTCATTAATTTTGTATACTATAGTAATATTATTTGAGATATTTGAGAGTTTTTAAAAGTTACTCAGTAAAAAATAATGCCCAACACTAATTTATAGTTGTTAAAAACAGGTTTTTGTTAAGTGCCCTTTAAATGTCAATGTGGTTTCGACAAATTATCTTAATGTGAAGTTCCTTGAAGTTACCAAGGTTTAGTCACACACTATTCCTATTTACTGTCCTTCGTCAGAGTAATATGTAGCCTTAAAACACAACACTTGGTGACATATGTATGGAATCGATTTCTGAACGGATAAACCATGTCACGTTGGACGCCAGAATATTTATTATCTTACAGCAGAGGGCGCTCTTTGATTGCTAAAGTCAAGTCGTCTCTCGCAGTGCTTCATCCCCACCTGCAGTGGAGTACAATCAACTGTCGATGATCTTTCACGATTCCTGTCAAAATGCATGTAAAATATCATGACTCATAAGAGGCTACACGAGCATATTATCAATCTGAGTGAAAGCAAGTGAAACGTCCATGTAAAATTTTAGATTTACATGCCATTCGATCACTACGGAAGATGATTCGGGCCAAGGAATTGAAAAATTCCAAGGTTGTCAATATTCCTAATTTTATCTCTAATGTCTAACTTTGTCAGGATTCTGCGAATAAAGTCAAAATTATGACTTTAAAGTGGGAAATCTGATAAGAGTCCGATATCTGACATAAAAGTGAGTAATTGCCAATTTTTTTTTCCTGTATTGGCCCTAATCCTCTTCCGTACTCTTCCCTTGATCACAAACGTGCTTCTGGTAATTACACGAATCATCGTACTCTGTTTCTATAATCGCAAATGAATCACATTCAGCAATACATTTTTTCATGCTAAAATATCATTGTTAGTATTATCCACGGCGTTTTAACGGTACTGATGTGCACATACAAATTTGGACTGTCAAGAGCTGGCTGAAATTGAAAAGAGTCCGCATTAAAGCACTGCATCATGCTGGGTGTCCTCATAAAATGTGTTGAGCACTCTCAGCACTAACTTAGATTTATGGAGTGCCTTTCAGGGGACACACATTTCATACGGTTGTTAAAATGTGTTTTTTTTAATGTGTGCGCGTGTCAGAGTGTCTGTGTGCCTGTGGGGGAAAGAAACAATAGTTTATTACTCGAGGTGAGCAAATTTGAATTGTGTACATATGATCATTTTATCTTTTTTTTTTTTTTAAATAAAGATCATAAATTAATATTTATGTTGTTGTATACCCTCATTCTCTGAACCACTTAATAATGACTGTAATTTAACATTTTTACATTTCCGTTCCAAAGGGTCAAAAGTGGCATGTTTGGTGCATTTAAAATAGTCAACATTAACACTTTATGTTCATCAAAGTTATGTCATAAAAGGTATCACCCAATCTTTTGTTTTTCTGTCTCATTATTAGCAGTGGTAAACTTATTTGTTACACTCTTCTGGGTGTACGTTCTATTACCCCCCCCCCTCCCCCCACCGCCGCTCTGGATTCATCAGTGAAAATGTCAGTTTTGTGTTTTACCCCGTCTGTGAGCTGCACTCGCCACCTCTCAAATAAACGTATTACCTGGCCAGAACTGAACAAAGATTTACACTTGGTTGATAAAGTTGGATTTACTCTTTGGGGGGGCTTAGGGGGTGATGTTTTAAAAATGAGCTGGCAGCTGTCCGGCGGAACAGTCAGATAGTAAAGTAAAGTGACTGCCGCTACCTGCATGCCCCTCGCACCCACAGATGGAGTGAAAAAGCAATTATGCTGCTTCGTGGCCAAGGTCCTCCTCAAAGGAGATTATGATGGTCTTCAGTGATGATATTGTTTTGTTTTTTGGGGGGGGAGGGGGGTGCATCAGTAATGTTACTTTTCTTCTTTGGCAGAGACTTCTGGACCACATCCTGCAGAAATGAAGAAGCTGCATGGAATGGCAAACACTTATTTCATCCATATGTTCAGTAAAGTCATTGCATCTCCGTTTTTATGCACCATAGTACATGCATATAATCATTTGATATAACACATAAATCAAAGAATATCTTAAATCGAATATTGTTAGAATCCAGAAATTCAACGGTCATATTCATCAAAATTCAAAAACTAAAGGGAGTGTGATTCAAATTGAATTACTATCATACGTTGTGAGTTTTAGTGCAGTCCAAAATATTCCAAGGACGTTATGAGTATTGACTTTCCAGGCAATGGTGCCTCCTCAGCAAAAAGCACCTTGACGGTGTCATTGCTAAAGTAAATGTTAATAAAATGCAACGCTTTGTGGTGGAGGGAAGAGTCTCACGTTTGTCTTGACCCCGAGGCCTCCCCTGTGGAAACTCCCATCCGGAGCGTCGAAATTCCAAGCTAATCGAACTCAGGAGACCAGCGGCGTTGCTGAAAGGGACCTTTTGTCACCGAGCGGCGTAGCGGGAGGTGACATTGTAACAGGAGAGAGGAGACCACCTTTAGCATGATAAGATGACTGACATTTAATCACAGCCTGGGGAGGAATAACATTGACATGTGTCGCAGCCCCCAATAGATTTGAAATGTTGGATGAGGAAAAAAAAACTATACAGTGAAACGTGGCATATTTGTTTTTTTTGTCTGTCTCTACAATCTGGTCCATAAATATTGGAACACAATTCTCATCTATTTGGCTGTGAGGACCAAATTCAGGTTTGTAAATCACTGTAATGACTAACAGATCCCTGTAGATGGCAGCGTGAATTGCTTTTTATCTGAGACCAGCACAGTTTCTGCGTGGACGATAAAGATTAGGTGGTAAATACCAGCTTGTGATGTTGATTATCATGGAGAGAAATACCGACACTTTGGAAATCGGACAAGTTTAGGCACCTCACACTCAAACAGTATGTTTATGCATGGGATAAACAGAGTATTGTGTTGTTGGAGGTGGTAGACCAGCTGCCACCATTGTGGTGCTTGTGCCCCCAAAGACCATTTGAGTAGCCGCTGGGCCTTTTTTTTGTTTGTTTTTAATGTGTTAACTAACCGAAAGAAAACCAGCTCCACTTACAAGTCAACATTTCAGCACAAAACCAAATCATAGATTTTGTGGAGAAAAGCTCACGGGCCACATGAAAATGATGTGGTCAGCCAGATCTGGCCCCGAGGCCTTTAGTTTGACTATGATGAATGTACTATTATGGTAGGTTTGGTGCTTGTATTGTCACAGGATACAATATTCTTTATTAAGAGCAAGAAAATTGTTATTTGGGGAGGCTGGAACAGATTAACGGCATTTCAAATCATTTCAAATGGGGGAAATGGTAGTTTAGCTCAATAGGTTGGGCTACACGGCTCGATAATAATAGAAGCCACACGAACGAGAGGTTTCTTTATGTCATCCCCGATCAATTCAGACAAGTTGGGAGTGTGTCAAAATGAGCTACCGGCCTCCGTGTTGTCTCATGCTTGCGATTGATTACGACTTCGGGTGCTCGACCATAACGTCCATGTGCTGTGCTCTGACATGGCAGATGTTATGGCAGCGGGGTGGGGGGGGGGGTATTGCGTGTGGGCAATGATGCCACGTCGCTCGTTTCCAGATAATGAGAACGAACTGACACGCCGTCGTACTCGAGAAGAAGGCCTGCCAGGCTGCGGCATCGCGCATCTTTCTCCTCCTCCTCATCATCATCGACATACCGAGGCCTCTTGACTGTCTCCCCAGCTGACTCAAACGGCACCAAGTGCCGGATAAGGGGTGGGGGGCGGGGGGGGGTCTCATAGCATGCGGACCATTACAATCACGCCGAGTGGCTGATTGCAAAGTGTTTGCTCGTTTATCGCCCGAACGTTATCATCTCCACATCTGTCCTCTCCGATACTGGAGCATGCTGGTGCCCCCACGCAGCCACCCTGCGTCCCACTGCCAACCTCCATTAAAGTCAACTCTATTTACCACATGCCAAGTATGCAGTCATGTAAAACTCATTCAAAGTCGGCCAAGGCGATTCTCCGAGGATTTATGGACTGTGGGCTAATATGGCAGCCGTGTATACATCTGTGTTGTTCCAGATTTCAGCCTAAATCAGGCGTGGCCAAACATTTTCTTGAAATGCTTGCATACACAATCAGTTCAGGGTGTTGCACGCTTATAGCCTTGAGACAGCTGGGATAGGCTCCAATCCATTCTCTGAACCGTTTATCCTCACCTTACCTCACAAGATTTTTTTCAGTTGTCTAAATGTGAATGCAATTTCATTGACGATGACTTTTAATTTTATACATAATTGAATCTTTAATTGTATTTTTTTCTCATTTTAGATCCAAAATTCGATTATATTTTAATTTTATTTTAACATTTACATTTTATTTTGTATTTTTATGTTGTAACTGTACATGTAATTGAACTTGTAACTTTTCAAATGTCTACTTTTCAATTTTAGATTCATAATTTTAGCATTATGAAGAGTGAATGTGTTTTTTAATTGTCTATTTAACTTCATATAATATCTTAATGCTTTTATTTTATTTTATTTTATTAACATTTTTATTTGAAAATATTTTGTCTTTTTTTTTTCAAAGTGAAAAAAAAAGAGTATTTTGGGTGTTGTTTTAACTGGCGCTAGGACCATGCGGGCTCTTCAGTGCACATGGCTCAACTTGGATGTCTCCCGCATGCAGTTTGAGGGCTGGCGGCTAGTCATCCGCCTCACTCCTCTGCTCACTGACTTGGTCGCCTTCATTCGCTCCTCGCTCCTTGCTGCCCATTCCAGCTGTCATGTCCTCAGCGCTCCAGCAACACTCCCACACGGAAACACAAAGCTAACACATGTTTCCCCACCAGCAGACTCATCCAAACTTTTTCCTCAGCTTCTCGGTGACAGCTTTGTGTTGGGGAGTCTGGTGGGTTCAACAAGTTTTGACGTGAAACGGTTCGCCAGTCTCGCTTTTGTTTCGGCTACGAGTCACAAGTGGAGAGTTTCCCGTCCGTTTTGCACCATGAGAATGTCGCGCCGGAGGAAGAACTCTGGCTTTCTCGTCTTGGCTGTCATCTGGTGCCTGACCTCGGCTATCTCTTATGCTGACAACACGATTTACAACACTCTGGAGGGTAAGTGAAAGCAGCATACCTGCCAGAGCCCTTTATTCACATCTTGTGCCGCCATTTATTGATTCTTTCTTTTATGGTCTTTTTCCACATCAATAAATGATATACTCCTGAAAATGCTAATATAGAATGGAAGGGATATTTATACGAGTGTTGTTTCATGCAAAATCTCATGGCAAACCACCAACCAAAACGGACACGAACGGTAATATGTTGAAATAATGATGAACTCGCCCCATTTTCTCTCCAAATTGACCTACTCTGTGTGAAATGTGGGCCTGAACACAAAACTGATTCTGGAATGTAATAAAAAGACACACATACCTTCAACAGTTCTATGAAGTGCAAAATCATTTAATTGCAACGATGGCCTACGTTGCTCGTTTTTTAAACGAACAAAGAGACACAAGTAGAGAGTATATCACATGCAATATGAGAGCTGCCTCGCAAAATATCCATTTAAACACGTAATAGTGTTCAATTTTGTTTTACAATATAATTGGGTGCCTTGAAATTGTACAATCTTAAACAAAACTGATTCTGGAATGTAATAAAAAGACACACAGACCTTCAACAGCTCCATGAAGTGCAAAATCATTTAATTGCCACGATGGCCTACGTTGCTCGTTTTTTAAACGAACAAAGAGACATAAGTAGAGAGTATATCACATGCAATACGAAAGCTGCGTCCCAAAATATGCATTTAAATACATAATAGTGTTCAATTTTGTTTTACAATATAACTGGGTGCCTTGAAATTGTACAATCTTAAATTATCCCCGTAACTCAAATCCTCTTTCCCTGCTGAAGTGATTGAAAATGTCATTAATCTGTTTCAGACTAAATAAATAAAATTCTGTTGAAATGTGTAATGTGTTTCAATGAGGAAAATATCACTCGATAATATTGTACTGTTACTGTATAAAAACATACAGGAATAACTAATTGAATTAAAAAAACAGTTTTTGTCATATTGAACATCAATTGGATGGCCTATGTGCTGCCCACCTCGTTTCAGACTAAATAAATAAAATTCTGTTGAAATGTATAATGTGTTTTAATGAGGAAAATATCACGATAATATTGTACTGTTACTGTATAAAAACATACAGGAATAACTAATTGAATTAAAAAGAAACCGTTTTTGTCATCAATTGAATGGCCTATGTGCTGCCCACTTTGGCCACCAGGGGGCAGAAGGACAGACAGATCTAGTATGCTGTACATAAACGTCTGTAGGGTTTGAACAGCTCAGCTCCTCGCAGAGGATAAAGAATGTATGACATTACTGTTATATTGGATATCTAAATGTGTTGTTTGTTTTAAAATATCAGTCACTTAAAGTGTAGTACCGTATAACCATTATACACTTTTCCATCGTGTTATCTTTAGCTTTAGGTTGTCGGACTGAAGGCTTGTACGTGATAGTTTTGCATAAAATATAATTGTCTTTCTTTGACGTTTAGTTTGACAGTAAACTTCAACTAGGAGGGGCATGGAACAGCTTGCGACCTCATTTTTTATTTTTTTTTTTAAAAGACTTGTTCACTTGAATTGCCGAAATACTGCTCTTGTGACATGAGTTGACGCACTTGGATCTCATGTTTCTGGTTGGACCACTCAGAATGAGTTGACGCACTTGGATCTCATGTTTCTGGTTGAACCACTCAGATCCCAAGGCACCACTGTATGTTTTTTTCATTGTTGTGGTTGCAGTTTGCAGTGGTGTACAAATATTCCTCTAACTTAAAGCTGTTCATAATATTTTGGCTGATTTTTCTGGGTGGCCTTTGTTGTGTCAGACCCATATCGATCATTGCTCTTGATTTAAATGTATTTATTTTATCACCCAACATTGTCGAGAATGCTATCCAGATGTTTAGCGCTCACATCATCATCTCAGCGGAGTCGTTAAAACTTTCACTCACAGGAGGAGTTGATCCAAGTGTGAATGCAGCGTGTAGTAAAAATAGTGCGAAGTAGGGCAGCACGAGGCTTCTCTTTGATATCAGCGGGGTATCGACTCCGCTGCCTCTGTGGATTGTTTGTCATGGCGCTCTTCCAATTTCCACCTAAGCCACAATATTAGGTACTAATGAGATCCAATGTGTGATCTCTGTGTGGGAAAAAAATAGATAACTCTTTTGACCTTATTTGACAATGTAACCAAACCTAAATAAAAGTGTGTTTACAAGCAGAGGCAGGAACTTAGTGGTCTGTGTCCAAGCAGTTGCCAGACGAGCAAGTCAGATTTGCAACGAGAGCCAACGTTGGGATTCTGCCACGCGCTGACTGATTCGTGCCCAAATCCAGGCCGAGCTCAGTTTAGTAGTTCAGTCGTCCAAAAATGGCAGAACGCCCGACATGCAGTCAAGAAAACATCAGAGCGTGCATCGCATCGGGATGCCTACCTGGACACAGTTGAGAACTTGATTTAGCAATGAAAACATTCATCCATCCCTTTTGTATAACGACTCTACATCAGGGTCGAGGGCGCATACAGACAAACAAGCATTTGCACTCATATTCATGCCTATGGATCATTTAGAGTCGGAGTATATGCAAAAAAAACCAACAAAAAAACAGGCAAGCACGCTCTGAACATGCAAACCGAGAACCTCAAATCTATGAGGCAGACCTGCTAGCCTGTCGAGCACAGAATCATGCCGGTGCCGCCCATCATCCCCCGTGAACCAGGAAGTAGCCTGCCAACTGAAAAACAAGCACAAATTTGACACTTTTGTTCCATTTTTGTGAACAGTTGGGCCTCGGCGGAGGTTTGCACTCTACCGGCTGACATTCAAGTTAATGCACGATCATTACAGCAGCGCTGAAACAACGAAATCGGGCGGTGACCTAAGACTTTTGCGCAGTAATGTATAGTCCATGAAACTGTCTGTAGTGATTAAATCAAGATAATTGCCCCCGCTTCATAAAAAAATATATATATATTGTCCTGTATTTGTTGGATGACAAAGAGTCAATCCAACATTTATTACTAGACTAGGAGGAAAATAAAATGCGTGTGTAAATCAAGTTTTTATCAGCGTCGGCGATAAAAACAGCAGTCCAAATAATTTAACATCTTGTATTTTTCCACGATGATGAATCGCTCGGCACGTCTCTCCTCATGCATGTCAACCGCTTGTCAGGGGGAGGATTCTGTTCTCATATTTGCGCAAAGAAAGCTCAATAAATAATTAGCCCGATAACCAAATGACCTGGTTTGGATTTGTGGCTCTCGCCTGGTCTCGGCGGCAGCGTCAGACGGCATTCATTAGAAAGATTAGCACGTCTGCGTTGGCCAAACAAAGCCAGAGCGAGACATCCCTCTCTCTCTCTCGCATCTCCCCCGTGGGAGCGCGGCCCACCTCTCTGCGTTTTTTTTTTCTTTTTTGTTTTTTTTTTTCTGCCCGAGATGGAAATCGTGCGTCTCGCTGACGAATAGCCGCCACGCCGTTTCAAACGAGTGACGTCTGCTGAAGCCGTTTAGAAAATGACCTGGCCGTGGTTTGTCTTTCGAAGCCCGTCGGGGGTGGCTTGTCACTTGACATTTTGAGATCAGGCTACCATTGACTTTGTTTGTCGTCTTCTGTGACGCCTCAGTGGTCCTCGCGGCGCGATTTGGCGTCATCTTCGGAAGGCACGCCACGGATACGCCGACGTTACCAGACGTCGGCCTGGCCGTGTCATCCATGCTGATCCGTCTGGAAGGATCCTTTCCACATGTCACAAGTACTAAACGCATCCGGTAGACAAGACAACGCAGCCTTCTCCCGTGGAGTGTTTGATTGATGGTTGTGTTGTTACACTTCCTTGATCGGGTTCAGACAAGTGCTGAAGGCAGGTACGATCCCCATTAAGTATGTAATAACCTGCACTCGGTTTTTGTTTGTGTCTTGGCTGAATGACCGTATTTATAAGTCACTCCGGAGTGTCAGTCACACCAACCATAAAATGCATGATAAAGAAGGAAAAAAAACATCGGTCGCACTGGAGTATAAATCGCATTTTTGGGAGATATGTATTTGATAAAATCCAACACCCAAAACAGACGTCATCTTTAAAGGCAATTTAAAATAAAATAGAGAACAACAGGCTGAACAAGTGTACGATATGCTAACGTTACATGACTCGGAAACAACGAACTGAGAACGTGATTGGTATGTTCACGTAACTTAAGAATTATTCAGAAAACGACAGCATAAATTATTCAGAAAACGATAGCATAAAGAACACTCAAGCAAGTATACCAAACCATCAGTGGTGATTATCCGACATCATCTCACCTTTTCATGATTCTGTTCTTCATTCCATCCGTTCGTTAATTAGGTTGCCCGAGTAAGGAAACGGAGAGACGAAAAGTGCTTTATACATGAAAATATGTATTTATGTTTGTGCTTTTTAAGGAATATGCAAGTTGTTTTGTTTTTTGGGAAGAACAAGTAAAAGCAAGCAAACAAAAAAACAACAACAACAAAAAAACATGACATTGGGAGGTTGTCAAGCCATCACCACTGACTGGGAGGTGACCCAACATGTGTAATAAATTCCCGCTAATCCCTAAATCCCCCCGCTAAATTCCCATCAGGCTCAAATCTGTGTGAGACAAGACTGGAATTGACTCCTCGACCGCTCGCTCCCTCGGGATGACACTGGATAAAACCTCCTATTACGACGAAGCATTCCATCTTAAAGGTTATTCCTGTTTGCTACGGTTCGGGGAAAGGGGTGGTGCTGGGGGGGGGGATTAGCACCTTCTCAACTTCTCCTCTAATTCTATTGATGTGTTGTCACTTGGGAAATAAAAACGGAGTGAGTTGATGGATGAGAAGTAAGCGAAAGGAAATGTTTTGCCTTGGTGGAGGTACAAGGGCGCTTATTCCATAAAGGTCCTTCCTGCAAACACAACTTGATTTGACGTGAAGATTTATGTGCAGTCCACAATTGGTTTGAATGCTGTACAAAGTCTCCATTGTCGAAAGTTGACATTGTGAAACGAT